GTTTGTGTTTGTGTGTGTGTGTGTTGGTGTGTGCGTGTGTGTGTGTGTGTGTGTGTGTTGGTGTGCGTGTGTGTGTTGGTGTTGGTGTGTGTGTGTGTGTGTTTGTGTTTGTGCGGGTGTTTGTGTTTGTGTGTGTGTGGCGTCTTATAGGGCTTCATACGGATTTAAGGCTTTCGGGTTCTAATGGTCCAGGCTTAAGACTTTAGGACTTTAGGGCATACGCAGCTTACAAGGCGTAGAGGCTTTATGTCAGTGGATAGAGAGAAGTGGCATCTCAAAGATCGCAATGTGAAAGTTTCCATCGTGGTTTAGATGGCGCTCATTCTTCATGTAAGCTCCATAGGCTTGTAGGATGATTGTTGTGGGTTCAGTTTAGGGTTTGAGGAGCTTGGCACAATCGGACTCAGGCATGGAGGTGAAGCTGATGTATTGAGGTTCCGCGGTCTGTCTACGGTAGTTTCACGAGAACAGGAACCCGGCACTCATTCAGTTCCTGTAGAAGTTAAACTACAAAGCCAACTTTAACGAAAGCTTCAAACCCCTCACAGGGAGAACCCCTACACATACACCGAGACCTCCATCGCATCTCCGACCGACCTTCTCTATTCCTTTGATCACAGCGAGATGCTGCGTCGTACTCACCTTCCTCACCATGGACGTGTACACATGCGCTGTGAAGATTGTGCTCTTCAATGTGCCTATAGTCTCCATTGTAGTTCATTTTTGGGTTTAACCAATGATATATGAAGGATCCTATAAGGTAGCCCCAATTGTAGTTCATTTTTTTGGTTTAACCCATTCTATAAGAAGGATCCTAGAAGGTAGCCTCAACAAGGAACTACAATGAACACTGCAGGTAAACCCTAAACCCATAAACCCCTAAACTCTAATCCCTAATTCCTAAACATCCCTAAACCCTAGAAACCCTATGACCCTAAACCCTATAAACCCTAAACCCTAAACCCTAAACCCTAAACCCTATAAACCCGTTATCAGGAACCTGCAGGCCCTCGCATAGTCCCGATCACTCTTGAGCGAAGCAATCACCAGGCGCATCGCGCGGATCGCGCCTTCTTTAACGGTTTAGGGTTCAGGGTTTAGGGTGTAGGGTTTAGGGTGCGAAGCTTTTCGCGTAGCGTAGTTCCCTCCACCAGTGCCTTCAACACGCGCAGTGGGATTGCGCCCAAAAGGGCCGCTACTTCGAAACAAGCCAGGGCGTTCGGGTACCCGGCTGCAGCGAGTCCCACCGCCGTCATGGCGTCTCGACTCGGAGTTGCACCCCAACATTGGGTCAGACTTGTGATTTCAGCCATGAGAGCCTCTTTGTCCAACCCTTGCTTGGAGGATCATGGGACTTAGTAAGTAAGGTTATAAGTCCCCTAATTGGGGTTATAAGTATAGTTACCTTAGTTAGAACCCTACTTACTAAGTCCCATGATCCTTTGAGTGTTCCCTTTCCTCATCCAAAAGCGCCTGCAGAGACTCAAACGCATGGGCTTCGAGGATCACGGAGATCCTCTTGATCCTTTTGAAGCAGCTACCAAGCGAGATTAGGCCAAACATAAACGTGCACAATGGTCTCCCCGACTGTGTGCCATGCTTGAGCCCTCAGGGTTTAGGGTTTAGGGTTGGGGCTATCTCGGCTTGGATGGGCGAATGAAGCACGACGTACAGTGCAGCCCTGCACCCAAAACCCCACGTCCCTAAACCCAGAACCCTAAGCCTTAAATCCAAAACAGCCTAATGTAGGGGCCTTAATACTTAGAATCGAGCTTGGGCTCCTTTATACTAGAAGCGGGGTTTAGGGGTTTAGGGTTTAAGGTTTAGGGTTTAGGGTTTGGGGTTCAGGGTTTAGGGTTTAGGGTTTAGTATAAGAAGGAACCGCCCAAAATAGTATTGGTAATTCTTTAGGCCCCTATGTTAAACCCTGCAGGATTTTTTTGGTACCCGCCTCATTGATTCGATCTTCCAGGATGAGCCCATCTTGCACGACGGGATCCTCCAAAAAGTTGAGTTTCAGGGTTTAGGGTTTAGGGTTTAGGGCTTAGGGCTTTGGGTTTAGGGTCTAGGGCGGATAGGGTTTTGGTGGTTTCTTGTTATACCTATCGTATAATCTACCCCCAAACCCTAGTCTAATTATTAAGGCCCCAAAATTATCGTGATGGGCGGCTTTAGGATTCTAGCGTAGGTTGGGCAACGAGTTGCTGGGTGAGGATGCACAGGGATTCTCCAGGGCAATCGAAACGCGGGTTCACCTCCGCAGCCACTGCTCTCGGCCCTAGACCCTAAACCCTAAACCCAAAGCCCTAAGCCCTAAACCCGAAACCCTAAACCCTAAACCCTAAACCCTAAACCCCCGAATGCCGAATCTTCGAACTCCAGGACTCTCTGCTCTTTGGCTCACGACGCGGGATATGGGGATCGGAGAAATCGAGCCTTCTTATCAAAATCACTCCTAGTGCTTAGAGTACGGTTTGGGGTCCTACAACACGGCTATAGGGCTTAGGGCCCTATACACCCTACACTCTAAAGCGTCTTGACGGTAATGTCAGCGTCTTGAAGTTTAGGGTTTAGGATTCACGCCTCCAGGGTTCTGGGCTGGAGGCCTGAGCCTTTGAAAGGAGGACAGAATGCAATGGCACAGGCGCCTTAGCAGGGCTAGAGTTTAGTATGAACATTATCAGGGACCCGAAACAATAGCAGTGGTCACTAGATTGCCGGAAGCTGCTTCTTTTCACTAGTGCCGACTATGGCTCGTATTCTGACATTTCGCACATCGGGGCACAAGTCGGCTTAGGGTTTCGGGACGGTCTAAAGCTTAAACTGTTTATGTAGCTTGACCGCCGGCAAATCAAACTCTCCACTGCCTGGCACCACAAAAACCCAAAGCCCAGATCCCAACTCCCCAAACTCTGGACACAGTCAAAGAAGCAAATCCTGAACCATACTTGAGTTTGGAGTGTAGGGGTTCCCTCAGATAAACAAGCTTTTGACCTATCAGTGCCACCACCCAAGCATGCCGGTTGTGCATCTGTGAGCTCACCCACCAGCTGATACCTGCCGGCACAGCAGACGGAAATGATGGCTAGAACTCGTCGGGTTCAGGGTAGGATTTGCGGCCTATGGTGTAGGATAGTGTACGAAATAGGTATGTCGAGACTTCAATTCAGGCGCTAGGTGTTGTCGGTGTATTGTCGACGGGTGTCCCCTCAATCTCGGTTCATCTTCGGAGCCCGGATTTCCCGACACATCTAGGTATTGTAGGGGCCGCAGCCTTAGTAATTGGGCTTTGCAGGTATATGAAAGTATAACTAGTTCGAGGACAGTAGCGACGGCATCTTGCTGCTGATTACTCAAGGCTCTATACCCTGATGCCGCTCGCGGCTAAACCCCTGAAACCTCATCCTTCCCCTAAACCCTACCTATAGTCTCCATTGTAGTTCCTTTTTTTTGGTTTCACCAATTTTATATTTGGGATCCAAAAAGGTAACCCCAAAAAGGAACTACAATGGAGACTATAGGTAAACCCTAAACCCTAAACCCTAAACCCTAAACTTCTTCATCCCCCCCTGTGGGCGCACAGGGCATCCTCCTGCGGTGGGCTTGCGGGCGGTGACGCCTTGGAGACGCCTCGGAGACGATTGAAACCACCAGCTGCTTTAGGTTTAGGGTTTAGGGTTTAGGGTTTATTTAGGATTTTGGGGTTTAGGGTTGAGGATTTTGGGGTTTAGGGTTTAGGTCTAGGTTTAGGATTTTGGGGTTTAGGGTTTAGGACTTTGGGGTTTAGGGTTTAGGGTTTGTCTCGGGAGTCTTGGAAAAGGCCTTAACTAAACGGCGACATCACTATCCATGTATACATGTGTATACAGCACATACCCACATATGCATGTCAATGTTAAATTGTCTTCATAGGGTTCTGCAAGGCGTTCAAGGACTGGGGTGTTCTGTGTACAGTTTGGGGTTGAGGTACTTGGGCGGGGGGTGTTTGGTCGATTCGTCGATTCCGGACTCGTTACTAAGGCCAGAGCGTAAGGTACCAAAAGGCCGGAAAGGATTGTAGGGTTCCTATAAATCCTAAACCCTAATGTTGGGGTCGGGTTTAGCGTAACCTTTCTTTCGGGTCAGGGTTTCAGGCTTACCCCAATACCAAATATTCCAGGGTTTTCGGGGTTTAGGGATTAGTTTTTTGGGTTTAGGGTGAGTCAGGAGCATAAGGACTTCTTTAAGGGTATCCCTAAACCCTAAACTTAAACCCTAAACCCAAACCTTAAAGCCTAAACCCTAAACACCTCTGGAGGGGGGTCCTGGTGAGGAGGCTTTGGCTTTCGGGTTTTGGGCTGAGGGTTTCAGGGTCAGGGCTGAACAGTTGAGGGTTTAAGGCAGAGGGCTTTGGGGTTTAGGGCTTAAGGTTTACGGTCTGGGGTATAGGGTTCAGGGCTTTGGGTTTAGGGTTTATGGTTTAAGGCTTTGGGTTTCGGGTTTAGGGCTCAACGTTGACGTTTCGAAGCCGTAACAACTTCAGCAAGGCCAAGACACTATGGGAACCCTCGGCATCAAAATAGCCCAAAAGCCTTCTATAATAGGGTCTTTGGGCCCAAGAGCCTTCAAATATGAGTCCTTAGAGGGTAAGGATAGGGGGATAGTTCTAGGTCACGCAGTCTGCATACAAGCCTTTCACAGGAACCGCGCCGAAGGATGGGTACTTGACCTGACGACCCCGAAAAAAACCCTACAAGTCAAAAAACAAAACCAAGGAAATCCTAAACAAACCCTAAAACCCGGAAACCCTAAATAAAACCTAAGCCCTGGACATCCTGAACAAACCCTAAATCCCGGAAATCCTAAACAAACCCTAAAGCCCACAAACCCTAAATAAACCCTCTCACAACCTCTTTAAAGCCTTATATCACTATACGCCCCGTTAGAGCAACAGGTGAGTTCATCTTCTAACAACAATACAATGAAACATGATTCCTAGAGAACAACCAAGGAACATGCTTGCTGCCTTACTTAAGTGAAATAATTACGTGAAAGTTATAAATTGCCTCAAAGGCCTACCGAGCCCATAAGGACTCCTTTAAGGGCTCCTTTGAGGCTTGCGCTGAGGGGTTCCTTTACAGGTTCCGTTAAAGGCATCCTTTCAGGATTCCTGTAAGGGCTCCTTCACGGGCGCCTTCAAGGGCTCCTTTAAAATTGTAATTAGTATAGGGTTTAGGGTTTAGGGTTTAGGGTTTAGGGTTTAGGGTTTAGGGTTTAGGGTTTAGGGTTGAATGAGTGATTAGTGCTTAGTAATGGGTAAATAGTAATTACCCTAAGGGTCCATGTATTCATATAGCATATACATGGGCCTTAAAGTACCTATATAAGGACTACATTAAGGCCAATGTATATACGATATGAGTACATGGACCCTTAGGGTTAAATTAGTAAATAGTAAAGTTAAAAGGTTGCTATAAGGGTTCCCGTATAGAAGCCCATAGTACCGAGCTCCCCTCTCTCCGGAGCCGGCTCCTCTGCAGGTGCCTGGGTGGTCTAGAGTTGTAGGGCTTAGGGGTTAGGAGTTTAGGGGCTTTAGGGTTTGGGGTTTAGGGTTTAGGGGCTAGGATTTGTAGGGCTTGGAGGGGCATCTGCTAGAGTTCTATAGGGTCTTACACGGTAAGGATTTATGATAGTGGCCTCAATCATTAGAGTACTAGTAGGGCTTTGATTGTTGTCATAGCTGATAATGGCTATATAAGGAACAGAATAGAAGCAAGGTACTCCAACTTCTTCCAACCCCCATATTCCCGGTGGTTACCTACAGTCTTTATGGTAGTTCCTTTTGGGGGTTACCTTGGATCCTAAATATAGAATTGGCTAAACCAAAAAAGGGAACTACAATGGAGACTATAGGTAGTGTTGCCTTCAAGGACATGGCATGGCTCCTTGCTAGATGCTCGTATGTCAGGGTAGGACTCTTTACTACAACGCTGCGGCCCTTCTTAGTGAAGCCCTGGTTTCCCGGTTCAGGATTTGGGCTCCGGGCTTAGGGCTTTAGGGTTTAGGGTTTAGGGTTTAGGGTTTAGGGTTTAGGGTTTAGGGTTTAGGGTTTAGGGTTTAGGGTGTAGTCCAGGCACTGCAACAGTTTGGGGTTTGACTCGATGAATTGAGAGCCTAGCCAAAAGGAAACGTACCTATAGTCTCCATGGCAGTTCCTTTTTTTGGTTTAACCAATTCTATATTTAGGATCCCATAAGGTAACCCCAAAAAGGAACTACCATGGAGACTGTAGGTAGAGTACCTCTGTACCACGAGTACTGATCATCCAAGGAAGACACGATCCCAGCAACTTCAGGGTTGCTCATAAGCAGCTTTAAGGTTTAAGGGTTTAGGGTTTAGGGTTTAGGGTTTAGGGTTTAGGGTTCAGGGTTTAGGGATTAGGGCTTAGTTCAGGGTTTTGAGGGCGTGGGTTTCGGGCTTAGGGTTCAGGGCTTGGGGTTTACCAATGCCGCGAAGGTCTAGATGAGTATGCTTCGAACTCGGCTCTTTTCCTCGAGCCGAAGGAGAATGTGAGATGAAAGTAGGTCAGGGATGCGAAGAAGAGACCCTGCATACAAGGGGTTTAGGGTTTAGGGTTTAGGGTCCTCACTGGATCCTCCATCCCACCATGGACTCAAAGTGCAAAACCTGGTTTTTATAATCCCTCGGGCTTATATAGTTACTGTATCATTCATGAAACTTATTCTTGAGGACAACCTAGTCACGATTGATACTTGAGACTTGCTCTTCCGACTGTGGCTCCCTGCGGCTTTTGCTTTCGCCGGCGCTGCCTTCACGGGTACTTTGGCCGGTACCTCGCCAGAGCCAAGGGTGCAGGAACTTGGGTGAGGGGATTAGGGTTAAGGGTTTAGGGTTTCGGGTTTCGGGTTTAAGGTTCAGGGGGGTTTAGTTTCGGGATTAAGGTTTCGGGTTTGGGGCCGTTAACCCTAAGGGCCCATGGGTACATGGACCCTTAGGGTAAGGGCTTTAGGGGTTTTGAGTTTAGGTCGGTAGGGGTGCAGGGTTTAGGATGCGTCCCTTGGTTGGGTTGCAAAGGCCTGTCGGCGGTGCATGAAGTTTTATGCCTCGGGGCAGAGGACTCAGTTCGCCTCCGGTATGCAGACTGTGCTACCCAGATCTTCCAAAATCCCTTCAACAAGGAATGTACCCTAAACTACCCTAAACCCTAAACCCTAATATGATTTGAGGTATACTCCTTACTTAAGGGGTTTTGGAGTCTCTGTGTAGCAAGACAAGACTGGCTCAGGCCGCCGAACCTAAAACCCCCATATCAACCCTAAACCCTTTTCCCTAAACCCCTGACGCCTGAATTCTAAGCCCTAAAGCCCTACACCCCTAAATAAACCCTAAACCCTATATTCTGAACCCTCAACTTATGAGTTCATAAACCCCAAACCCTGAACTCTAAGCCCTAATTTCTCTTTGTGCTTCAGGGTCACTGCAGGATGTTTGGACCAATGGTTCTTGGTTCACGGGCCTAAAACAAGTTAAATAGGGGCCTCGGTTTAGGGTTTAGGGTTTACCTTAAGAACCCAAAACTTCCTTTTTTTGGTAGGGTCCCTATAAATCCCAAATTAAGGTCTGCAGTAAGAACCTACAAAAAATTGGGTTTTGGGTTCTTAAGGTAGGGTACTTAGACTAGGGCCTTGGGACACATGATAGTATATGGCTCTGAGATGACTGTAAGAGGCTTCAGACCCCTACCCCAACGAGCTGCTGGAAGCTGCGGAAAGAGAGGGCCTTCATACTCCAAGATTCTGATGGTTCCTAAAAGAAAATCCTGTACCAAGTTTAGGGCTTACCTACCGTCACCATTGTAGTTCCTTTTTGGGGTTACCTTATAGATCCTACATATAAAATTGGTTAAACCAAAAAAAGGAACTAAAATGGTGACTATAGGTAGAGTTTTAGTTTAGGGGTTTCGGGGTAGGAGCCTTAACCAAACATTTAAAATCTCGATGTCACATCCCCAATGCTGATGCAACATCAGTGAACCCAAATTGCTGGCAGTTCGGAAACCTTGAACCTCAACCCTGTGACGTGGATTGGGGTTTAGGGTTTAGAGAGTAGCTCTAACGCCCGAACCACAGTCCAAAAACCTAGATACGCCCGAGCCCTGAATACCACAAAGCAAGCTGGATTCTAAAGTCCTTACCGCCCGAAGGGTTCTGAATCCCCTAATCTCTTGTCTGCATAAACGTGAATGGGCCGTCTCTCGCGTGTTTTCATGTAGACTAGACCCCTAATTAATTAAACTTTTTTATCGACAAGGACTCTAACAGCTAGTAAGTCTTGGATCCGTTGATGACCTTTACTACTGGAAGGGAGTTTATCAACCCGGCAACTACATTGCTGACAACGAAGCAGACAACGTTCATTCAGATACCGCTTTCTTCTCTTTGAGTATTGCTACAAGGCTGTCCGGCATGCTCGTATTGCTGCTCTTAAACCGGTATGCATTGAAAAGCGCGCAGCTCCAAAATCCCTATGGCTTTTTGACCTGTTGCAATATACCCTAAACCCTAAACCACTTATACAGGGATTTAAGCAAGATGCTGCTGCTCCTCAGTGCAACCCGTCCTTTACTACACTTTGCCCCTAAACCTAAACCCCTGAGTTGTAAGCCAAAAACCCCGAACTCGATGGGTTTAGGGTTTACAGTTCAGGGTTTAGGTTTACCTTATGAACCAGAAGTGCAAATACAAACCAGAAAATCCCAAAGCTCTATGAGCAAAACAAATCCGTAAACTCGAAGAATTCAATCAGCTCCGGGCCTTGGCCACAACAGCCTTGGGCGGCACTGTGGTTGGAGTTCCTGCCGGCGAGCCAAGTCCGACCTCGGGTAGGGTTTAGGGTTTAGGGGTCAGGGTTTAGGGTTCAGGGCTGAGGGGTTAGGGCTTATGCAGGGTTCATAGGGCTTCGGTCGTCTGGGGCTTAGGGTCTGGGGCTGAAAAAGCGTGTAAGGCTTGCAAGGGGGCTACTATAGGGTCCTGAGTGAGTGAGAGTGAGTGAGTGAGCGAGTGAGAAGCGGCACCCGTTAGACCGGGGCCATGCCTAAGGCGCCATCCCTCCCGGCATCGCAGGGGCTCCGTAAACGTCATTGCCCCTCCGCTTGGAGTTCAAGCTGGCAGAGCGCCGCGGGAGCACTCGGCCAAGATACCTTATGTGATGCAGAAAGCCGCCCCGGCACCGAGTACAGCAACGGCAGCAGCAGCAGTATCAGCAGGTAGGCGCTAGGTGAATGGAGCTCAGATCGTACCGCTTGGCTTGCAGGCAGCGGCCTGCGACTACCACACCCTGAACCAATCACCATACAACAACCACAACAACAACGACGAACAACAGAGGCACACGCACCCGCCCTCCACCGAGACCTGAGTGGGGCGAGGCAGCAACAACAACGAAACGCCAAGAACCAGCAACTAGCGGCCACCTTCCTGCACCGGTCATCTATGAGGTTGCTATCAGAGCAGCGAGCACACTGTCAGTGCTAACTTTCCTTTGGGGCTCTTAG